CCAAAGTTTTCCATCTTTTGTATTTAATGGCATGGCTTATAATATAATCTGATGGATTGTTTTGGTGAAACCTGCAGTGATCTAAGCAACAATAACCTTGGAGGCGATTTGCCATATCAGCTTCCTCCAAACTTGGAGCGATTGTATGTTTGAGGATTCATTCTCTCTTTATGTGCTCTACAAGTTTCTATATGTGTTTCCAAGTTGATTTTTTTTTCTGAATTTGTTTAGGAATCTTGCTAACAACCAGTTCACTGGATCTGCTCAGTATTCAATTTCTCTAATGACACCTCTCAAGTACCTGTAAGTGCTTAGTTTAGTTCAGTTTCTTATCATCAGACATCTCTTGGAAAAGATTGGTTACTTAATGCTTTATTGATTTTCTCCAGCAATCTTGCTCACAACCAGTTGAAGCAACTAGCTATTGACTTCACGAAACTCACCTCTCTCTCTGTCTTGTAAGATCCTTTTTCTTCCTGAGTTTAACTTGATTAGTTAAATAAACCAAAGTTTTGACAAAATCAATGTGTTTTATTTCCAGGGACCTCTCTTCTAATATTATCACGGGTTCTCTTCCCAACACCTTTAGCTTTCTTACGAGTGCAAAATCAATGTAAGGCTTCTTTAAGTATTCTCCATGTACTGAAAGAAATCACTGTAAGGGAACCAGTTCATATTAACATTGTGTTTTTTTGAACTTCACAGTTATCTTCAGAACAATCAGTTCTCAGGCACCATTGATGTACTAGCAACCCTTTCTCTCGAAAATTTGTGGGTAACTTAAAGCTTATCTGTTTTTAGAAATCCGTCACATTCAAACATCAATTTGAATGTTGTTCTTGCTGAATGCTTCCTCAGGAATATTGCAAACAATCGTTTCACGGGTTGGATCCCAGATTCTTTGAAAGGCATTAACTTGCAGTAAGTTTCTCATTTGGTTTCTTCGATTTTCTTTTAACTTTTTTTTTTCTTGTCACACTAATACTTCTTGCTGAATGTTCTTGGAAACAGAAAAGATGGCAATTTATTCAATTCCGGGCCTGCTCCTCCACCACCTCCTGGTACACCTCCGATCCGTAGATCACCGACTCCTAAATCCGGTAACGGTGGATCCCGGTCCAGTGGTGGTGACTCCAGCAGTAGCAAAGACTCGGAGAAATCAGGGATTGGAGCTGGAGGAATAGCAGGAATAGTCATTTCATTGTTAGTTGTAGCAGGAGTCATAGCTTTCTTCTTGATCAGGAGAAAAAGATCAAAGCGGACATCGTCCACAGACATTGAAAATACTGATAACGTTAACCAACCCTTCACTCTCGCTTCAAACGACTTTCATCAAGGTTACATATTCAAAGAATTTTTATAGGTTTTTTTTTATTTACATGAAGTGTTCTTATGGTTTTCTAACTTTTTCGATCATGTGTGTTTTGCAGAGAATAAGTCTATACAGAATCCACCATTAGTTGAGACGAAGAAACTGGATACCTCGTTGTCTATGAATCTGCGGCCTCCACCAGCTGAGCGACATAAGTCGTTTGATGAAGATGACTCAACAGTGAGAAAACCCATTGCTGCAAAGAAAGCTGCCGTTGTGGTTCCTTCAAATGTGAACGCGTATTCGGTTGCGGATCTTCAAATAGCTACCAATAGTTTCAGCGAAGATAATCTTCTTGGTGAAGGGACTTTTGGAAGAGTGTACAGAGCCCAGTTTGATGACGGAAAGGTACAATATTTAGTTTTTACATGATCCTTTTTACTTTTAACAGCACAATTTCATTATATTTGGCTGCTGAGATATAACTCTGATCTAATCAGGTACTTGCTGTGAAGAAAATAGACTCCTCTGCGCTTCCAACTGATACTGCTGATGATTTCACCGAAATGGTATCGAAAATTGCGCATTTGGATCACGAGAATGTCACAAAGCTTGACGGTTACTGTTCTGAGCATGGACAGCACTTGGTGATCTATGAGTTCCATAGAAATGGCTCATTGCACGACTTTTTACATCTGTCGGAAGACGAAAGCAAACCGTTGATATGGAATCCTCGTGTCAAGATCGCTCTTGGCACTGCACGCGCATTGGAGTAAGTCTTTAAAAGAATCTCGGTCACAATATTTTTCCCACTATCTGGCAAAAGTCTTATGGAAAGTGTTCTTGTTGTGGTTGCAGGTACTTGCATGAAGTCTGTTCACCATCCATAGTCCACAAGAACATCAAATCAGCAAATATTTTACTTGACTCAGAGCTAAATCCGCACCTCTCAGACTCAGGTCTCGCTAGCTTCCTCCCCACTGCGAATGAGGTAAATACAGAAACTTCCAACATTTTCATATTTTCTCCAATCTCCAGGTATCTCTCTTTATCTTGTGTCTCCATCACTTATGATTCTGATATGTTGTGCAGCTACTGAACCAAAACGACGAAGGATACAGCGCACCAGAAGTTTCAATGTCAGGCCAATACTCTTTGAAGAGCGATGTTTATAGTTTCGGAGTAGTGATGCTTGAGCTTTTAACCGGAAGAAAACCATTCGACAGGTACTAATATGATCCACATCTCTTGGTCTTGGCTTATTTGAAAAACCTCTCTTTCTCTCAACTCAAGAGTGAAAAAGATGAGGAAATGTGTTCTGAATTGAATCCATTGTTGTGACAGCACAAGGTCAAGATCTGAGCAGTCATTGGTGAGATGGGCAACGCCTCAGCTTCACGACATTGATGCTTTGGGGAAAATGGTTGATCCATCTCTCAAAGGACTTTACCCAGTTAAATCTCTCTCCCGATTTGCAGATGTTATCGCCCTTTGCGTTCAGGTAATGTTTTAATGTGTTTGCATATGTTCTGCTGAAAGAAAGAATGGAATCTGAATCTGGTGTTTTTAATTTGTGACAGCCGGAGCCAGAGTTTAGACCACCGATGTCTGAAGTGGTGCAGGCGTTGGTTGTGTTGGTGCAGAGAGCTAACATGAGCAAGAGAACTGTCGGAGTCGGCTCCGGTAGCTCCGGCGCCAATGATTACATGTAAATTCTTTACCTGAGAGATCTTTAAAACAAAACACTTTGCCCTTTTTTTTTCTTGTCTGCTCGGATTCTGGGTCGGACGAGAACAAGTGACAGAGACAGACAATCAACAGAACAAAGTCTTCTTCTTCTTTGTTTCTTCTTCCATAAAACCGAGAGAATAACAACAACCTTTGCGCATTGTACAATCCCATGCTTCCTTGTAAAATGTTCCCAACTTGTAGCTTTTTTTTTAGATTCCGAACAACATGAACAAAAACCATGCCCTTTTGTGAGTTCCGAGCGAAGACGGTATTTTTCATTGTATTTTATTTAAATAATTTTCCTTTTTAAAAAAATTGGATTGTAATCATCAACTTCAAGTTTTGTGATGCTACTGAATTAATCGACGCTTAAACAAAACGGTCTTAATGGAGCACTTTCTAATTTGTAAATTGTGACTTTTAACAAAAGGAAATTTCTGTCATTGTATTTCTATATAAAAAAAGGAAATTTTTGTGTCATTGTAATTCTAAATAAAAAAAGGAAATTTCTGTGTCATTGTCCCTTTTTATATATAAAAAAAGGAAAATTTTCCTTTTTAAAATGGAAATGTTATTTTTTGAACCGACGATTATCAATATAAGTCATCATTAGGCTTGAAAGATAAGAAATTTTCCTACGATTCAGTGTTTTATTCTCTTACTTTCAGATACTCAAATCTCTTCTTTGACGGTTTTTAAAATGAACGATCAAATCGAGCCGAAAATAATAGTTCTGATAGTTTTTGTTGTGTTTTTTGCGCTGCTAGGTTGTATTATTAAATGTTGTGAGGGTTTTCGCCGTGTTTATGGAAGAAGCGATGATGAACATAGTGTTATAATTGTTACCATCGAAAAGTTGGCCGGAGTCAATCCTTCTGTTCTCCGATCGATTTCCATCATAGATTTCAACTCTCAGGACTTCAAAGACGGCGTTGAATGCGTTGTTTGCCTCTTGGAACTCGCTGACGGAGATAGAGCTAGGGTTTTGCCGAGCTGTAACCACTGCTTTCATGCCGATTGCATCGACTCGTGGTTTCAATCTCACTCTACTTGTCCTATCTGTAGAAAGATAGTTGGTTCGGTGCAGCAACTAGTTTTGCCAAAAATCACGATCGAACCTTCAGGTTTTCTGACCAATCCTCTTTCAAGTATGGGCACAACAGTTATTGAAGACCATAACTCCGAGGAAACAAATGAATTCAGCCGGATTTGACCGCCGTTGTGGTGGACATTCAAGCAATACTAGTTGTAAACATAAGAGTATGTTTAAAATATTAAATATTATTAATTGAATATAGTCAAAATAAATAATTTTCTTTTAATGTTAAATACAAAACTAAACCAATGTTACGATATTAAAAGATAGATTAGATTATATATTTTTTCCTAGTCTGCTCGGATTCTGGGTCGGACGAGAACCTAGTGACAGAGACAGACAGTCAAGAGAACAAAGTCTTCTTCTTCTTCTTTTTTTTTTTCTTCCATAAAACCGAGAGAATAACAACAACCCCTTTACGCATTGTACAATCCCATGCTTCCTTGTAAAATGTTCCCAACTTTTAGCTTTTTTTTTAGATTCCGACAACATGAACAAAAACCATGCCCTTTTGTGAGTTCCGAGCGAAGACGGTATTCTTTCATTGTATTTTATTTAAATAATTTTCCTTTTTTAAAAATTGAAATGTTAATCAATTTCAATTTGTGTGATGCTACTGAATGGATTAACGCTTAAACAAAACGGTCGTGTTTAGAAATCTGATTAAAAACTCCAGAGATCGCCGTCGGTGACGAGTGACGACAATGATTTATTGGATCGACATCCGACCCGGATCATAATTGGGTCTCGTCGTTACGACACCATGTGGACATTTTAATGACACGTGGCTGACAGTGGAAGCCTCACGTGTGAATCATAACCGTATTATATATATACCCACGTACACGTTCCCTTGTAAAATTTATCAAAGCAGAGAGAGAAATGAGAACGATGATCGGAAAGTGTTGGAAGGCTCTTGGAACCGCCGGAAAGTGTGATGGTGGTCATTACTACGGCGTGAGGACGATGGTTGGAAAAGCCTCAAACCGAGCCGGTGTTCATGGTTCCAGGATTCCCGACGCTAAAGCACTTGACAATGTAAGTACACATGTACATAGCTAAATTAGCAACTAATTATTTTATTTGAGGTTATACAAGATCTCAAACTCTTGTTTGTTTGTTTTTTTTTCCAAAGAACCAGACTCTTGTTTGTTTTTACTAAACATTTTGTCGTTGTAATGCATAGGAGGAAGAGATTAGGGAAAGGATTGATAAAGGGGGAGAAGACAAAGAACAGAAAAGAAGAGAAGTTGAGAAAAAAGTCTCGCAAAGAGGTTCCAACGGCGACGATGAATCCTCTTCCCGGTGATTCGTCATGCTTTATTTTTCTTTTTAACTGTTTACTCTTCTTTGATCTCTGATATGCATTATAATGTACTTCTTCGTCTTGGTCTTCTACGATTTCTCTCTTCAGAATGAATTTCATATATATTTCAAAATAGACATGGACCAGAACTTGTATAATGTTTCAAAATACATTAGAGAAAAGAAAAAAAAGAATTTGTTTTTAAAAGGAAAGCATCAGGACGGAAAGGCCCAAGTATTAGAGGCCCATTAATCTCACAAATGAAAATACGAGAAAACCAGTCGTGTGTGGCTTATCCGGTTCCATCTCTGTTTCTTCTGCTCTGTAGTCACACAGAGACAGAAGAATCACTTCTCCGCTACTTTCTTACTGTGATTGTTGCGTATAATCTCCCGTACACTCACAGAGCAGAGGGTTCGAGCTTTTCCTTCTTCTCTCTCTCCTTTTCTTTAGAATTTTCCAATGCCTTCTTTAGGTACGTTTGCATTTCGATTCCAAACATTACAAATGCGCCAATACATTTCACTTATTTTTCCTCTTCAATAATTGGTTCGAATTCTACTCTTGATGATACGCATATGCCTCTGCAAAAAGACATATCTACAAAGCTTGTGCCTTTATTCATTTGCAGTGGTTGTATAAACTTGCAGATGTTGTCACTCTACAAGCTTATCTTTCTCCATTGGGGTCTCAAAGTATAATCCACTCCAGATTCTTACAGATTCCATGGAGACGACAATCATGCTTCTCAAAGCATTTGAATTTCTACAGCACAGGCCTCTCTAAAGCCGGCAAGCTCGACGAAGCCGTCGTCACTCTGATAGAGAAGTCGTCATCCTCACCTTCAAATCTCTCCAGCCCCGAGGCTTACACAGACGTTCTTCATGCCTGCATCTCCGCTAGATCGCTCCACCACGGCCAAAAAATCTGCGCTTTGGTTCTCAACGACCCTAGTCTCCGTCACGACCCCAAATTGCTAAGCAAGCTCATAACCCTTTTCTCGGTTTGCCGCCGACTGGATCTCGCTCGGAAAATCTTCGACGATGTCACCGACTCGGCCTTCCTCACTGAAGAAGTTTGGGCGGCGATGGCGATTGGATACTCTAGGAACGGGTCACCGAGAGACGCTTTGCTCGCGTATGTGGATATGCTCTGTAGTTTCATCGAGCCAGGGGATTTTTCGATTTCCATCGCGTTAAAAGCTTGCATCGATCTCAAAGATCTCCGGGTCGGTAGAGGAATCCATGCCCAGGTTATGAAACGGAAAGAGAAAGTTGATCAGGTGGTGAATAATGTGCTCTTGAAGCTTTACATGGAAAGGGGATCATTCGAAGACGCACGCAAGGTGTTCGACGGAATGCCTCAGAGAAACATTGTTACTTGGAACTCTTTGATTTCAGTGCTGAGCAAGAGAGTTCGAGTGCATGAGATGTTTCATCTGTTCAGAAAGATGCAGGAAGAGAGAATCGGGTTTAGTTGGGCGACACTCACGACGATATTGCCTGCTTGTTCACGTGTCGCTGCTCTTCTCACCGGGAAAGAGATTCATGCACAGATTGTTAAATCGAAAGAGAAGCCTGATGTTCCATTGCTCAACTCATTGATGGATATGTATGGGAAATGTGGCGAGGTTGAATATTCCAGGAGAATCTTTGAAGAGATGTCAGCTAAAGATCTGACTTCATGGAACACGATGTTGAACTCTTACGCAATCAACGGGAACATCGAAGAAGAGATCAGTCTGTTTGAATCTATGATAGACTCAGGAGTTGCACCAGATGGGATTACCTTTGTTGCTTTGTTATCTGGGTGTAGCGATACAGGGCTCACTGAATATGGTCTAAGCTTGTTTAAACGCATGAAAACAGAGTTCAGAGTTTCACCGGCCTTGGAGCATTACGCTTGTTTGGTTGACATCTTGGGCCGAGCTGGTGAAATCGAAGAAGCGGTCAAGGTAGTGGAAACGATGCCCTTTAAGCCGAGTGCATCCATTTGGGGATCACTGCTCAACTCTTGCAGGCTCCATGGGAATGTTTCAGTGGGAGAGATTGCAGCCAAGGAGTTGTTTGTTCTTGAGCCTCATAATCCAGGGAACTATGTTATGGTTTCCAACATATACGCCGATGCAAAGATGTGGGATCATGTGGATAAGATCCGAGAGATGATGAAACAGAGAGGGATCAAGAAAGAAGCTGGTTGCAGTTGGGTACAGGTTAAAGATAAGATTCGAATCTTTGTTGCAGGTGGTGGGTACGAGTTTCGTAACTCGGATGCGTACAAGAAAGTATGGTCAGAGCTACAAGAAGCAATTGAAGAATCCGGTTATTCTCCTGATACGAGCGTGGTGCTTCACGATGTTGATGAAGACACTAAGGCAAATTGGGTTTGTGGACACAGCGAGAGACTCGCGACTACTTATTCTCTTATTCACACCGGTGACGGAGTTCCAGTTAGGGTTACCAAGAATCTGAGAGTGTGTGCGGACTGCCATTCATGGATGAAGATTGTGTCGCAAGTAACTGGGAGAGTCATTGTCCTCAGAGACACAAAACGATTCCACCATTTCGTTGACGGCATCTGCTCATGTAAAGACTACTGGTGACAGGTGAAGTACTCGATTACAACAAGCGAACAAAAGTAACCTTAGCAAACAGAAAGAAATTAAGCGAACAAAAATTGAGTCTCTAACCAATGTAGATGGTTTTAGTTTTATTTTATTTATTTTGTTTTTTTTTTCTATCTAATTATTTGTCTGATTTGATTTTAATTGCATCTGAAAATCTAATACAATCGAGTATATTCATAAATTTGTTTTTGTGTCTATATCAAAATTTCAATGTCTGTATGTATATGGACAGATTTTGTCAACAAAGCAAAATTAAAGTTTTGAATTTTTTAAATTCGGATTAAGAACAAAACTAAAGTTGTTAAAAGAGGAAAAAATCTAGCTAGTATCCTACAAATGGAAATAACAAAATTATCAAAGAAGAGGAAAGATGCGGAATCATGCCGTGTGACTTTTAACAATTAACAATAGAAAATTTCTGTGTCACTATATTAAAGAAAAAAGGAAAAACAGGAACCTAATTAAAATGGAAATGTTTTTTTTTGCTACGACGTTATAAATACATTTAACAAGTCAGTCATTAGGCTTGAAAGATAAGAAATTTTTCTACGATTCAGTGTTTTCTTTTTTTACTTTCAAATATTTATTGATATTTTTTGACAATTTTTAAGATGAACGATCAAATCGAGCCAAAAATAATAGTTATGATAGCTTTTGTTGTATTTTTTGCGTTGCTGGGTTGTATCATTAAATGTTGTGAGGGTTTTTGCCGTGTTTATAGAAGAAGCGATGACGAACATGGTGTTATAATTGTTACCATCGAAAAGTTGGCCGGAGTCGATCCCTCTGTTCTCCGATCGATCTCCGTCGTAGACTTCAACTCTCAGGACTTCAAAGACAGTGTTGAATGCGTCGTTTGCCTCTCCGAGCTTGCTGACAGAGATAGAGCTAGGGTTTTGCCGAGCTGTAACCACTGGTTTCATGCTGATTGCATCGACTCATGGTTTCAATCTCACTCCACTTGTCCTATCTGTCGAAAGATAGTTGGTTCGACGCAGCAACTAGTTTTACAGAAAATCACGATCGAACCTTCAAGTTTTTTTGACCAATCCTTCTCCTAATACGGGCACTGACGGTTATTGAAGACCATAACTCCGAGGAAACAAATCGAAACTAATAAATTTTATGAAGGACCTCATAATTTTAATAGTTAATATTTAGTTTAATTTTTAAATATTATCAACTTTTTAATTTTAAATATTTCAACTATTTCTGTTACTCAGCCTATCACAAATACAAATTCATCGCGCGGTCCATATCTACTTGGATTATACAATCCGGTTATTTCTGGTTTACTTTGGTACAATAATTTGTTACACGTGTTAAAGATTAGTACTTGTATATAATATATTTCCTTTGTGATTGTACACAGTCTACCCATTCGTTCGAAGTTTCAGTCATTTTCTTCTTCTGCCGCTCGCGATCTCTTCTCGTTCCTAATAACGGATAGAAACCCTAACTCTTCCGATCGATTGTTTACTGTAGGAGGTTCGTTTCACTTTCCTTTTTCTGGTTCTCAATGTATTTGCGATTTTGGCTTGAAAGAATCGCAATCTGCAGAATACAGAGACTCGCTATCTCTCCTGTTCTGGTTTTCTTTTAGAAAAAATTAGAAATAAAGGATGTTTTTTTGTATTTTCTTGTTCATTTACACCTTTATTTTTGTTGGTATAATTGTGTCTAAATTACTCCTACAAAAATATTTTTTAATAACTACTTTCGTTTTACAAATTGTTTTTAATATCGATTTAAATACTAAAAAAGAAAAATAAATATTTAAGAAAACAAGAAAATTATATTATTCCAAAATCATAACAGGAAAATATTTACAAAATCTTTTTCGATATGTTATGCAAGCTTCAGAATGTTTGTTCAACGAGTTCTCTATGATCTGCAAGTTTTAGAATATTTCTTCTGCAGTTTTTATATGTTCTACGATTTTGAATAATATACGTTCTGCATAATATACATGTTCTGCAAAGTTTAGAACATATATTCTGCTTGTTTTGGATAATAACTGAAACACGTTTCTCATCCCTAATTTATCTCCATTCTCCACGCCGTCTTCATTCTTTTAGATTTCAGCAAAAATCAATGGTATAAACCATAAAGTACTGGATCGTTTTCACATAAATTTGGTGAGTTTATTAAATTTTGTGTTTGCTTTACCATTGATTCAACTTCTATATGTGAGAACTTATGAATTTTTTTTGTTTATCACAGATAATTATGCTGGAAATTTATGTGAGGTGCGGTATATGGACTTCATTTGGCAACAACGAGTGGAGATTTACTGTTGATCAAGAAAAACGTGCCAGATTATTTATATTGGAATCAACTACTACCCTTGAAGAACTAAAAATAATGGTTTCAGAAGACTTTGGCGTAGAACAGAGTATGGTTGATGTCGGATTCAGTTATCTACCTACTGATTTGGTTAGTAACTTAGAATCTCCGCCAGTCCTTATCTCAACCGATCGACAAGTTAGAAATTTGGTTGGGTATTTGAGAAAGAAACCTGTGATAAGTTTATGTGTTACGTTTAAGGCTAGAGTTGACAAGCGAGAGAGTAGAGCCCATATTGATTTAAATGAGGACCCACGTGACTCAAGTGATGAAGCTGATGAGCATCATTTCCAGAAAAAATCTGCAGAAGGTGTGAATCAGTTTAAACAGAATGATGGTTCCAAAAGCAATCCCAAAGACCCTCAAGTTGTTCGTGATGATGGGATACAATCTGAAAATATTGATGACAGGTAAAGTGAAGATCATTGGTTGACAAGCTCTTTGACATAGGATCAGCATTTCACAAGCAAGGACGCTCTAAAGGCAACTATGGAAATATGTGCGATGAAGTATAATTTCGACTATAGGGTGACAAAATCTGATAAGAGATTGTGGTGTATTCGCTGCAAAGAGAGTGTTTGCAAATGGAGTGTTCGCGCTGAGTGTTTAGAGGGGTCTACGTATTTCAAAATAAACAAGTATGTGGCTGAACATAGATGTGCTCCTTCAAAGAAAAGCAACTTCTCTAGGACAGCTTCAGCAGTAACGATTGGAAATCTTATTATGCATAAATACGTGGGTGTCAAGGAAGGACCTAAACCGAATGATATCATCAACATTATGCGCACGGAGCATGGTTGCGAGCTCTCTTATGCCCAAGCATGGGAGTCCCGTGAATATGCGGTTAATGCTGTTAGAGGTCTTCCAGAGAAAAGTTTTTGCAAAATACCAAAATACTTGCACATGTTGCAAGAAGCTAATCCTGGTACGCATACTAATTACCAAACTGATTACAGTGGTAAATTCAAGTATCTATTTGTTTCTTTTGGTCAATCCGTAAGAGGATTCTACAATGCCATTAGGAGGGTGATTGTAGTTGATGGAACTTTTTTAAAGAGCAAATACAAAGGAGTTCTTCTTGTTGCTACAGCCATAGATGGTAACTCTAATTTGTATCCAATTGCCTTTGGTATTGCTGATTCAGAGAATGATCTTTCTTGGGAATGGTTTTTTATGCAACTAAAGGTTGTTATAGATGATGAGAAAGGTTTGGCTTTTGTGTCTGATAGACATGGTTCAATTGCTAAATCACTTCTGAAAGTATACCCATTGGCTAGACATGGAATTTGCATCCACCATTTGTTGTCCAATGTGGTGAAACATTTCAAGAGAAAGGGTTCAGCGGCCTTGGTTGAAAGGGCTTCGAAAGCATATAGAGTTGCTGATTTTAAGGATTATTTTAACCAAATTCGCAGGACTAGTCCGCTAATGGCAATATATCTAGAGGAAGCTGGCGTGACAAAATAGGCTTGTTGTCTATTCCCAGGTTTCAGGTTTGACATAAGGACGACAAACGCTGCTGAATCGATAAATTCTACATTGAGATCACCTAGAGAGTATCCAATAATTCCTTTTCTGGACAGCATCAGGGAAATGTTAACACGGTGGTTTTATGAGCGTAGGGTATTAAGTGCAAAGCACCAGCATCCTTTAACCGTTGAGGTGGAGCATAAGATTCGTAGAAGGACAAAGAAAGCTGAAACATTGGTTGCTTATCCAATTACTATTGACAGATTTCAAGTTAAAGGCGACAGATTCGATTGCATTGTTGACTTGGAAAGTAAAACATGTTCTTGTGGAAAGTTTGACTTAGGAAAAATTCCTTGTAGACATGCCATTAAAGCAGCGTTTTCTATGGGCAAGCAGCTACATCCACTCGCAGATGAAGTGTATAGCACTACGGTATGGAGAATGGCATATGAGGAAAGCATTAATCCAATATCGATTCCTGAAGATGAGTGGCGTGTCCCAAAACATGTTGAAGATGCCAAAGTCTTACCTCCTGATACACAAAGAGGACCTGGTAGAAACAAAAAACAAAGATACCAAACTGTTGAAGACAAGCTTAGATCATCACAAGGATCACAAGGGTCCAAAGACCACAAGTGCAGCTGTTGTCATACTGGAGGACATAACAGAGCGACATGTAAAATTCCAATATAGGGAAGGTTGATTTGCTGGAAGAATTCAAGTACTTTTTGTTTTTTTTTTTATATTCAAAGGGCTAGAAAGAACGATTTGAACCATATGCAAGTTTCATCACTTCTGATTTCATTATTGAATTTGGATTTTGCTGTTTGATTTCTTTGCTTGGTTTCCTTCTAAGTTTCAGAAGATTATTTCTAGGGTTTGTGCCTTACTTGCCAAAGGTATATAGAATATTGCATGTTCGGCAGCTTTTTAATGGATGCTGTCTTCGTTTTACCTTTTGATATTTTTTCATTGAAAAACTATCGAAGCTGTTTCTTTGGCTTGCTTAATTTTGAATACATATGCCTATTGTGTTACATCTGAGTTCAATTATTTTGTATGTTGTGGTGATTTTTGACGTCAGATATTTGAGATTTTGTTAATTATTTCATGCACTAACACTTAAGGTACTCGTCGTGGCTGTTTTAGATATTTGATGCACTAACACTAACACTTAAGGTACTCGTCGTGACTGTTTCATGCACTAACACTTACTTTCATGCACTAACACTTAAGATATTTGACAATTGTATATAAGATGTTTTATTCCTACGTTAAAGAACAAAAGTAAGCAAAAGATATATACCTACATATAATGTTCCAATAATATTCTAAAAATAAAATCCAATAGTAAGTCAATCAATTTCTACAACATCATCAGAATCAAAGTTTGTAGGCTCGTACTTTGACATTCGGTCAATTAAAACCGGATCATTTGCAGCTTCCCACAGATCAACTGCAATCTTGATTCTCGCTTTTCCAATATTATTATCACTAATCAAAGACAAATCCATCCCAAGCAAGTGACATTCGATGTATTTGATTGCATACACTCCGCAATCACAATGTGATTTATTGAGTCCACACGGAACATGTGTATTTTTGACAGTGTATTCAGTCACATTTAGTTATCTTCCAACATACGTTGATTGAACTGCCTTCACTAGATGAGGGATCAATACAGCGAATGGTTCGGCGTTTCTTTTATTGTCAACTCCAGAACAATCAAAGACTTCAATTGTTCTATGAATGAAGTTGATGCACATTGAAATCCAATGATTACCGTTCACAAACACTGGAGCATATACCTGGTCGATATCCATAGCCCATAGTTGCATAGTCTTTCCATGAGAAGGAAGTTCTCCTCTGCCGTAAGCTAAGATCAAATCACTGAACTTGTACTTTCGACGGTCTCTCTGGTACTTATTAAATTCGATGTTGATCTGCAGGCTAAACAAGCAATTCATAAAACCTACTCGAGCTGGTTTCCATCTGCGTAAAGTTGTATTCTCCCGGAATATGTACATAATACCATCAATATCCTGGAAATAAACATTATTAAACATTCGCACATTTGTTCAGACTAAGATGTTATTTAAAGCTTACCTCATTGCCAAGCCATTCTCTCGGCTGCAGAACTCGGTCAAGTAATTTTTTGTTAATAATAGTTGGACCTATCTTTAATTTCCTGAAACGTAAAATTATAAGAATTAAATGATAGGAGAGTAAAATAGTGAGTGTATATATTTGAGTAACTTAATTGAAATACTTACTCGTTCTTCTTATACCATTCCATTAGTTTGGTGAAAGTCTTCTCGGAAACAAACACCAATGAATCATCTCTGTCTTTTTTCCTTCTCTTATCTGTTTTTTCTGTATCAGTAAAGAGTTTTCTTGTCCAATTCTCACGTACGGGAAGAGCAGGTATTTCTGGACTTTCAACTTTTATCGGTGGCAACAAATCTTCTTTGACAAACGAAGTCTTCGGAGTTGAGAAGTGATTGTTTTCTTCGGCATCCCATGTCTCTGTAGGAAACCCAGTAACTACTGAATCTTGTGACAGTAATCCCATAGTTTTTTGTAGATACTCTTGTGTACTAATATTGAGGTCTATATTAGAAGGCTGACTGCAAAGTAGATCATCTTCATGCATATAGACATTAGTAGTAGTAGTGTCTTCATACGACTGTTGGGCCTGTTAGTGACAAAAAAATTGCATCGTAAACAATATACATGCATTCTTAAAAAAAATTGCATCGTAAAGAAAATTATTAAACATACATGCATAAGAACAAAGCGGAGTTAGAGAACATTTTATGAAAATACATTAACAAGATACTAAAGCAACATATATCCAACAAGCTTACAATTTTACAATAACTAAAAACAACATACATGTTCACTACAAGCTTACATGCCAAAGATAATTTTCAAAACAACATACCAAAACAACATACAACTCCAAGCTTACACACGTGAAAGATAATTTTCAAAAAGTTCAATGAGCAGAGCTTCTCGTCTTACTTACCCTACGTTGACGCGGAGAATCATTGGCAGTGGATGGTTTCGTTGTTGTGGATGGCTCCAGGTTCTTTCTAATTCCAGTGATTGACTCCTTGAGTTCTGACAAATCCTTCTCAAAGTTTCCAAGACGCTGGTCCATAATCTCATCAATCTTCTTCTCGATTTTTGCCTCCAAGTTAAAGAAAGAAGCAAGAAACATTTCTTGAATGAAGGACTTTGTATCTTCATCAAGACGTCCTGGTCTTGCTGCTGCTGCTGCTCGCTGACAAAGAATCTTCTTCTTGCGTTTTTCAGCACCATGGTCGGGTAGCGTTTTCTTACCCCTTCTCGAACCAGAAGCTGCAGAAACAGGGATTCCACCTTCACAAGAAGTTTCAGAAACAAAGACAGAGTCATCAAATTCTATAGGAGAACTGTTCTCATCTATATTCTCAGTAGCCTCAACAGATTCCCAAAGATGGTCTTCCAAATCACTCCCTGCTCTAATCTTATCAGTCAGATTATCAACTCTAACATCTACTTCTTCATCGTTCCATAAGAATTCAGCTGACTCTTGTATATCAAAATTTCCAGTAGAAGAGATATATGGATAGACAGAGTCCTGCAATAACGTAAAAGAAAATTATTAAACTCACTTCTAATGAAATCAAATTATCCAAAAAATCATCATCACAATATTCTCTGATTGTCCCTAAACAAACAATGTTTATTTCAAGATCGCAATATGATGATAAATGAGAAAATAAACTAGTATAATCCAATATCGAATTTAAAAGTTAAACTCACATCGATTCCAAGTGTGTTCTCTAGCTGAATGATATCTTCATATGATATTTTTGCAGCTCCCATCCAGTTTGAACATCATGGAGCTCCTGTGAAATCTTCATTCAGTTTTTCTCCCACCAAAGCTCCAAGAACTGGAATTGCTTCCATAACCCAAATTTGAAACGCATAGGAGAAGCCGTCCAAAAAATAGCTCTGTGGATTCTTCAGCTTATCTCGCGTCCTAACTAAAGAAGTAAGCAGTAGATCAAAAGCTTCAACCCCCCATGGATAATTTTGAACCTTCCCAAAATCCATTACTAACTCAATGTATTCATGTGGAATTTCTTTCTTCCAATCCTGCGCCATTATCACACCAGCAATTATCCATAAATACACAAGTCTGACCCTGTCCATGTGACTCCAGTTCTTAACACCACCCAAGTGTTTCTCAAGTAGCAGCTTTATGCTAATTTTTCCTTTTGTTTTAAGCAATTTGCTCCAAAACCCATTATCACATTTCCATGTCGCTGAATTACTGACCTCAGCAGAACTATTATACTTCAGCCCTGTAACTGCACAGAACTCTTGCATCGAAAATCTGAGAGGCCTCCCTCCAAACACGAACCACAGCTCATGTTTTTTGTTAGTATCCAGCTGCCTACAGAACATGCTATGAATCAACCTTGCAGAATATCCTAAGCAGTTTTCATGGATTGCCAGAACATGTGAGAACACTGAATCTCTCCTCACTTCGTTGTACTCCACTGGAAGAACATCTCTTATTTTGTTCACAATGGACATTTTGCAATTGTTGTTAATCTGCGCCACTTGTGGCTCATGTCCGGCTTTAAACAGACATTTAGGAAATTCCTCTTCCATGCCTACAAAACCGAAAACATGAAAACATTATAAAAAGACAGATTTTGGAACTAATTGTTTACTTTTAAAAGGTCGCTATTCTTCATCTATGGGATGTGTAAGTATGGATTCACAAGTAAGAAACTCTGCTTTCTTTTCTTCTTCGATATCAATATCCACCCAATTTGTGAAACAAAATTAATGTTCAAAATTTTCTGGAACTCTAAGTAAGATATGAGAAGAAAGACAGAAGTGATCTAAAGGATTTTACTATTACTCTCTAATTTTCCAGTGTATGCCGTCAACCATCACAATAAGGGACTTAATCAGCAATAATAACATGACGTGAGTGTTAAAGATGTAAAACAATCAGTATATGTACCTTTTTGTGTGGAGGAAACAGGGGAGATCGAATACCTTTCTTCACAGCGATTTTGGTGAGAAAACAGAGAGAAAACAGTTTAAGAAGAAGAGTTAAAGAGGAAGAGAGCGATTTTGAAAAGAGAACAGAGACAATCGAACTATTTGGTTTAAGAAGAAGAGTTGGTGAAGAAGAAGAAATCGTGAAAATCAGTTACGGTTTAAGAAGAAGAAATCGGGAAAAAGTAAAGGATCGGCAAAAATAAGAAGAAGAGTTATAGAAAAAGAGAGCGATCATAAAAGAAGAGAGCGATGGTTGAAGAAGAGTAGATCGAAAAAAGGGAATCGACGGAGATTACAAGAAATAAAATAGTTTATGTTTTTTGGCTTTTATGTTTTTGGATTTTTAAATAACTTAAGTTATATTATTAATAACTATATAAAATTTAATAATTAAAAAGCATAATCGGTTTTTAATTAATTTAAAATATATCTCACCAATAAATGATTAAAAAAGTATAGATGAACAAACTCATAGATAAAACATCCTTTATTTCCAATTTTCCCTTTCTTTTACCGTCTTTGTGAGCTATGTAATTGTGGGTTTCCCAAATGAGTTAGTTGATTTCGAATTGATTGTGCGCTTATCAGGAGGCTACAGAAAGAATCGCGAGATTCCCGTTTATGATTCGTGAATTGGATTTAGGATCTTTGGCGTGAATTATTAGGATAGGGAAAGAATGCGAGATCTTCTGGTAATCTGGTATTATATTTGGAAGTTTTGATTCGTCGATTGGGAAACTTTGCTTTTCGTGGAAACTGGCATGAATTGTGTTATGCTCTCTGCTGGAAATTTTAACTGCATTTTGCTTTTCTGGAAATTGGCGTAAATTATGTTATGTTTTGCTATGTCCTTTATCTGCTTGAATGTTTCTTTGACGACGTGATTGGTCTTTTTTATCTTTTAAAGGGATGGCCAATGAAGAAGTGAATCCGTCGATATGGGCAGCCTGTGCCGGAGTCACAAGTGTGGAACCACTACAGGGAACTGTCATCTACTTCCCACAGGGTCATGTCGAGCAATGCACCAACTCCGATCAAGTTAGAACTCTCTGCGCTCAATTGCCAGCTTCGACTTACCGTATCAGCTCCGTATCTTACCTTGCGGATACACGTACCGACGAAGTGTATATGCATCTCATTCTCAATGTGTGTCGGCCTGAAGAACGCAATACTGCAACAGTTGCAACAGCTGCAAGACCAGAGCCGGTTGCTAAGTTGCTTCTGCCTACCGGATTCATCAAGGTCTTAGAAAGGGATGATATAGATGGTGATCAGTGCTCCATCGACAAAGCTTGTCTTTGGGGTGGATTTGTTTTTCCCCAAAGAAAACCTTCAGTTAAACATCCATGATATACATGGACGCCTCTGGCACTTTGAGCACAGGTATGACTCAGTTCTTGAGATGCATATCCGTTTGCAACGGATGGCAATCGTTTGTAGCCAGCAAGAATCTGTCTCAGGGAGACTCTCTTGTGTTTTTGAAGAAGGAAGAGGGATTCACCATTGGAATTAGGAGGAGTAACAAGAGCTTTAGCTCTTCTCTCTTCAACTGCCAACATTTGGCAGGTGATGCTGACGATAGTGGGGTGTTGAGGAGGACTGGGGCTGGCTCAGTGCAGGTATTGTCTGAAATCTTGGGAAAGGCTCTTAAGAAGAGGAAAGATCCCATTGAGCTTGATTATTACCCATGTGTTGGCTCTTCCTGCTTCGTGGTTGATGCTGCAAGAGTAGTGGCTTCAACAGGGAGAATGGATTGGCATGTGGGCCTAAAAGTCAGGAAAGCCAGATTTGTAAAGGACCAGTTGAAGACGTTTTATCAACAAGGAGTGGTGACTGGAGCCCAAAAATTTCCAGGTAGATTCAAATCTTCTCTTTGGAGACAACTTCAGGTCAAATGGGACAAGTGCTATGATGAAGCCGAATGTGAATCATCATGCAATTTCTGGGAGGTTGAGCCGCTTGAGACCTCTAACAAGAGATCTACTACTCCAGACCTCACACTGTTCGGCTTCAAACTCAACTAGTGTTGAGCCTACGCTACTTTTTTTTTTGGTGTTGCAAAGTTCGATATTGGACGTTGCTGGTATATCTTGATGAAAACATAAGGATAGTTGACATTTGTTTCATCTGATGAGTTTCACATGCTTATATGAAATGATCATTGAGAGTCTTTTTTTTCGTTTGGCAGTTATGTAGCTTGAGAGTCAGTTTAGTAAACTAGTTTGGTTAATAGCAGTGACAACCATTAGATGCTATAGTTATCATGACTTCCCTAAGCAGGGCCGAATTGCTGTCAACTCTAGGGTAAATGTTCATGCACCATTACAATGTTTTGGATCCTTGGAATTAAAATGCATGATAAAACAGAATGCTTGCTTTAGGGGTATGGCCCTATAACCCCAAGTTGCTGTGGCTGTTTACATTAAAGATTTGCATCTTTTTACATATATATATGATGGATGGTTGCTGTGACTTTGTACATTCGAAGGTATCTATCTCTAAAAATCGTATTTAATTACCAAAAAATGTTAACTAACAATCACTTTGTGTTGGGAATATGGGTGTTAATTAGTTCCTTATGGTTCCACGAACAAGATTTCACTGAAGGAGATGATGACACAATGAACTATGTAATGACTTGTATACATTTTCTCATCACCTTGCGCATCCCCATAGAATCCTGAAGAATGGTTTACTTTCTATTTGCATTATGAACCACTTAGAATCAATGAAAACGGGTCAAGTAGATCATTTATCTCGGTTAAAATATATGTTTTATTCCAATCATCAATTACAAAAAAAAAAAAAAAAAAGACAAGTCTAGAAACGCTTTGAAATATAACAACAACAAAACAGCCAAAGATGGAATGGAACACCCTTTAAAAGAAGGTTGGAAAGTAGCTTAAGAGGGCATTTCGAAGCGGCACAGTGGACAAACATGATTGATAGCAAACCACTCGAGGATGCAGCTATCACCAAACTCGTGTGCGCAGGGTAACGTCACGACTCTTTGTCCCGTTTCAAACTCATCGAAACAAATTGGGCAAACGTCGGAGCTGGACGTCGTCGTCTTCTCGTATACTTGCCTTGGCAAAGAGTCAACCGCAGACTTACTTGCGGGTCTAAATCGGATCTCATCAGAAGAGACTTGCATATGCTCTTCAAGTACAATAGGAGGAGGACTGAACTTAAAGTTGATATAAACTAACAAAGCACAGCCCGGAGTATAGTTCACAGAGTTCAAAATCAAATCAAAGACATATGGAGGGAGATCCAAAATCGCACAATGAACCTGGTAGTAATTGAGACGTCCTTCTTCCCATAAGCAAACCAGTTGTTCCCACCTGTAATGATAGTTACCCAATAATTCTTTGGCAGGCAACGAGAAATTCATTATAGGATCTACGGATTCCGACATTCCGACAATACTCGCATAGACTTTGATTCTTCCTGCGTCTTCAGGTATAGGATTGTGGTCGATTTCATGGTTGAAGAATACGTACTCGGAATTGTCCGTGTCGTCGTCTACACAATCAAGGAATAATAGATCTCGGATCTCGGATTCGTCCATTACCAAACAATACGAGATGTGTTCCAAAGTCTCAGGGCTTCTTTTTCCGGTTTGTCTTCCCTTTGTTTATAGAACCTACTTATTCCTTTTATTTGTTTTCTTTCTTTACATAATTATTGTTTTGATTTCGGTTGTTTCCTTTTATTTTCTTCCTAAAGCAATAAATAAAACGTATCCATCAAAGAATATTTAAGGAAACCAGAACTCAATTTTCTATATTTTTAAAAAAGGAAAATTAGGAACCCTAATTAAAATGGAAATGTTTTTTTTGCTACGATGTTATAAATACATCTAACAAGTCGTCATTAGAGGTTTGAAAGATGAGAAATTTCTCTACAATTCAGTGTTTTCTTCTCTTACTTTCAAATACTGAATACTGAGAGATTTGATCTTCTTTGACGATTTTTAAGATGAACGGTCAAATCAAGCCGGAAATAATAGTTATGATGGTTTTTGTTGTGTTTTTTGCGCTGCTGGGTTGTATTATTAAATGTTGTGAGGGTTTTCACCATGTTTATGGAAGGAGCGATGATGAACATGGTGTTATAATTATTACCATCGAAAAGTTGGTTGGAGTCAATCCCTCTGTTCTCCGATCGATCTCCGTCGTAGATTTCAACTCTCAGGACTTCAAAGATGGTGTTGAATGCGTCGTTTGCCTCTCTGAGCTCGCTGATGGAGACAGAGCTAGGGTTTTGCCGAGCTGTAACCACTGGTTTCATGCCGATTGCATCGACTCGTGGTTTCAATCTCACTTCACTTGTCCTATCTGTAGAAAGATAGTTGGTTCGGCGCAGCAACTAGTTTTGCCGAAAATCACGATCGAACCTTCAGATTTTCTAACCAATCCTCCTCCGAATACGGGCACGGCAGTTACTGAAGACCATAACTCCGAAGAAACAAGCGAATTCAGCCGGATTTGAGAGCTGTTGTGGTAGACATTCAAGCAAAACTAGTTGTAATAAGAGTATGTTTACGATATTAAATATTATTAATTGAAAATAGTTAAAATAATTTATTTTTAATGTTAAATACAAAACTAAACCATTGTTAAGATATATTTCGTTAAAAAAAACCAATGTTAAGATATTAAATTAAAAGGACTTTTAGTAGGTAATTTACTATGATGAATAGTATGAGATGTGAGAGAACTAAATATGATGTTATTAGTTATTACATACTATCAACTGCAAATACTCAATTAATTAAAAATCTAAAGAAAAGTAACAAAAGAGTAATGTTTATGTGAGAACTAAATATGATGTTATTAGTTATTACATATACTATCAACTGTAAATACTCAATTAATTAAAAATCTAAAGAATAGTAACAAAAAGTAATGTTTATGTATTAGTTTATCTAACTAATAATATTATCAAAAACAATTAGATAAAGTTTGTGCCTCGAGAGGCGTGAGGAGCCAACCTCTACTTGTATAAAACAAAACAGAAGTAGCTTTCTCTTTAGGGTTTTTGAAAGAGAGATTGATCTTATAATACAAAGTGTTTTCGCAGATGGACGACGATCTAAAAGTTCTCTTCGAATTGGCGATTGTGCTTGCGTTATATTGCGGAGCGCTGTGGTGTTTATGTCGTCTGGAGTCTTATCTGCGCAACTACAACCTTCCGACTCAACCTCCTCGTAGCTTTCATGATTTGATCAAAAACATCGAACCCTCCGGAAACTACAAGCCTCCCGCTCCCCGACCAATCCCCGTCGTGACATTCAACTCTCGCCACTTCAAAGACGGCATCCAGTGCGTCGTGTGCCTCTCCGAGCTCGCCGAAGGAGACAAAGCCAGGGTTTTGCCGAGCTGTAATCACTGCTTTCACGCCGATTGCATCGACCAATGGCTTCAATCGAATTCCAGTTGTCCTGTCTGCAGAAACAACAACATCGGTCGTTTGATCCTAAGTAACGGCGAGGTTGTGATAGACATCCTCGGCGGAACCTGAAATTCAAGATTAATAGCCAAGATTTTATGACATTGACATCTTCTTTTAAACACTTAATGGCTATGTTTATGTATATGCATACGGCACTTTTGAGAAAGTTCACGTCATATAATTTTCGAAAAAGGACAAATAGGTCTCTGATGATCAGCATGGTTTCCATCCGAAATTTGCAGTTATTAAAACAATGAAAAATATATTTAGATTTTGTTTTTCTGCGAGCTATCTCTTTTTTTTTACATATTTTTTTTTGCTTGTCATTGTACATCACCTTTTTTTAATAACTCTAAAAAAATTTCCGGCGAAACAATTTGACCCAAAATCAAGATCGGAGCGAACACAGGTTTGATTCAGAATCAAACTATATTTAAACGTTTATAAACATTTTTCTTAGTGATATTTTTGAGATGTGGCATCGTAATTGTAGTTATCAAAATTTCTCATCTTCTATTCCCACACACGACTTGATCATCATCTAATACATAAATTATTAAAATCAGAATTCCAGTTGTGCATACATACAAGTGACTTCCTTAACAAAAGGTTTCATTTCGAAGAAAGGAGAAATGTATGAGTAACAAAATAATCAAGAAATTTTTTGACGAATATAACAAGACAGAGAAATTTCGGATCGGACAAGGTCATAACATTTGTGAGCTTTACAATTAATTGATAAGCTTATAGCAATTGAGAAAAATCCTGGCTTCACAAATTGTCGTGCCTTATTAGGAGTATCAAGTAGTTATACCATTGTATATATCTATAACTAAATTATATCTCAGGAGTATCTTTCTATAAAAATAATTAGGAATCCTCACTATAATAGAATTGGGTTTTTGCTACGTTGTTATGTATAAATAACTTAATTTCTATAGAGTCTGTGTTCTGTTTTTCTTGCTTTCTCTTACTGAATCTTCTTCCAAGGGTTTTTGAGGATGAAAGATTCTGCTGCATCCATTGTATTAAATTTCGAAATAGGTTTCAGCTTCTGCCTGTTTTTCTTTGGGTTTGTGTATAGAACGGTGAGTTGTATTATTAACTGTTATAATAACGATGACAATCATCATGATCATGACAACAGCGATGACCATGTCATGATCACCATCGTGGAATGTGACGGTATCAAGCCCTCCGTTCTCCGATCAATCCCCGTCGTTGACTTCAACTCTAAAGACTGCGTAAAATGCATCGTTTGCCTCTCTGATCTCGTCCACGGAGACAAATCTAGGGTTTTACCGAGCTGTAACCACTGGTTTCACGCCGATTGCATCGACACGTGGTTTCGTTCTCACTCCACCTGTCCTATCTGCAGAAAGAGAGTTAGTTCGGTGCAGCGAGGAGCCAGACGCGAGAGTTTGGCACAAAACCACGACCCGAGTTCCGAACATCCTGGGCTCCCGACCGAACCTCCTCCGAACATCGATGGTTGTGGTCGATATCCAGGCGGATTAAGATCCTAAACTCTATCGAAATTCAGGCCCATTATCATGTGAAGAAACGGCCCATATTTAAAGCTACCGTAATTGTATTACCAAAAAAGAGATAAGTATCGGTTTCTTTTGTCCCCCATTGAATTTATTGCTTAATTTTCACATTTTCTTTTGAATTTCTCTGTATATCAATCCTTTTCTGTAAGTTGTTGAGAAACACAGGGCTTTCTCAACTTGCAAGAAAGATTCGCACTGGATAATATATATACTGTGAATGTCGCGATGAATGTTTTTTCTTTCACAAATATTTTAGGGATATGTTTCAGTAACAAATACATTACCCAACGCTCTCTACCGACAACGATTTGATTTTAGGTTAAATGTGTGTGCAGCAACACGTGCAAATAGTGAACAAAGACAAATCTACCAACCAATGTGACCACTCACCTTACAAAAAGCCTTGTAATTGTAGGAAGGTAGAATAGTTGTATACTTGTACATTTATTATACATATATGAAGTAATTACGTCTGTTATTAAAAAATTTATCGTATTTTGAGACCCACATTCAAAAATAAAAATTAAACCCTCGTTTATTAAATAAGCCAAACGCTACATCGGATGCCCTGTATTTGCAAATTGTTGTCGGAAAGGATTATGCAAGTTGTTTTTCTTCTTTTAACGTGCCCTAACCCACTCTATTAATTGTTCTGCTTTCTTTTCTTTACTTATTGATAAATTATGTTCTCTGTCTTAAATTATCTACTTTTAAATATAAAAGACTAATGATAGAGAAGAAATCAGGATTTACGTGATTATGACATAACCTTTTTATCTCAGTAAAGAAAATGAAAGAAATACTGTGATGATTACAATTTACAACTGTACTATCTGCTTTTCTAGACGAGCGAATCACCTTTAACACATACTAGTAGCATTTTATCCTATTATGGCTGTGGTTGCATTCTTAATCGAATATATATATATATATATATATATATATTTAGGTGTTTAGCTAAAAAAAAAGTTCAAACTTTAAGTTCTGCGCCTACTAACTCCTTTTAACTTTAAAACTAATACTAGCATTTTACTCTGTTTTTCAAAGAAGGATTTTCTATAATTAATTTTATTTCAAATAGATAGATATTTTAAGTTTTTATACATTTTTTAGTTAATAATGATAAATTATAAATTTCAAGAAAAGTAACTGAATTTATTGAATTATTATTGGTTTAAAATTATAAAAAATTATTAATCACAAAAAATAGTACATTTATTGTAAAATTTTAATGTATTTTTTAATATGTGTAAATACTTCAAAATATTTTTCTTTTTAAAAACAGAGAAAATGCTAAGTTATGCTCTCTATATATCCCTTCAGCCCGAAATCATTTTAAATTAGTCATTTACCGATGAGAATGAGATATGCATGGTGCATCTAAATATTTTTTTCGGATCTAAATGGTTGAACATTTGAAAATTTGTCACGGAAGTCTCGTGGCACGAAGAGGTTTGGTTCTCCGGTAATGTCCCTAAACATGCCTGCACGTCGTGGTTAGTGACTTCGTGTGTCTTGATAGGCAGTCTACTAAGTGTATACTTACTTTTTGGGGGTGTAATTGAAAATAGTACGTGTGTTGTGTTCTTTGCAAGATGTATAACGAAACTCGTACGTGATTACTTATTTCTGCGATGCCCCTGCAACTATGATGTGGACAGATCGAGTTTTAAAAGATTCAATGCTCCTTTCTCTGGATTTGCTTCGTGAGAGACTTTTCTAAGTCGCCTTGAAAACAACTTTCAGCTACTCACTAGTAGCTCAAACGGTCGTTTATCTTATTTGACGGCAGAAGCTCATCAAGTGGTCATCCTCGAAGTTTATCGTGTTACGACCCCAAAAAAATCAATATAATGTGTGATTGTTCCTCAAAGTGAATTAGTGAAATATAATAGTTTTATGTTACGTGCAGTAAAAGCTAATATAATATACGATTAGTGAAATTGTAAAAATACTGTTCAGATACGTCTTCTAGAATAGTTTGTTTTATCAAGGTTATCCATAAACCATAACAGATTATACCTTTCGAAATATGTACAGACCATAATTTTTCTTTTTATTGGTAAACAGTCTGATCAAAAGAACAATATTATATACCATATTACCATTCCTACATTTGTATACCCTTTTTGACAAACAAAAAGTTAATACAAGAAAGCTAGGATTCTTCTGCGCTGTACGTATACCGACAAAACTTGTATTTTATAATTTAATCGTATTATTGGAATATTGTATTCTTAAGATGTTAAATGGACCCATGCCAGGCTTGCAATACTAGACTACTAACCTATTACACAGTTCCACAGCCATCGGCATGAATGAATACTTTCTATTCATTATTTCATCTATATATTCAGTGCCACTGGTATATATGAAAGCAAAAGTGTTAAATGTTAAATATATCCTTTCATTACTATATTTTTTTTTTTAAAATGTTTTATTAGTTTAAATATTTTAAAATAAAATTATTATTTAAATAATTTTTTTCTTTTCTGAAAGGATGTTTAATTAAGTTTCAACATTTATATCTAATATATTGTTTTTTCTTCTTTACAACATCTGTTGCTATAGATATTGTGTAGAGCAGTGTTTATATTTACAGCTTTAAATTATATCAATTATACTCTATAAATTTTACTTTTTTATTTGTTTTGAGCTAAAATATTTCTTTTTTTATACTTTTGAGCTATACAAAGTATTTTTTCCTAAAATGTATAATTTTATATTTCTAAATTTTATAATTCTACATCTGAAATCTATAGCTACAAACAATTACAGCTATATATCTATATTAAAAACGTAAAGTTATATTTATTACCAATTAGGTTCTATGTTACTGTTAATCGTTAAAAATATATTAATATATAAAAAAAGAATATGCTCTTTAATAAAATGAAAATTTATTGTCGGTTCGGGTCAAAACGTAAAGTTTTGATATTCTTTTTTTTTTTTTTTTTTGTAACTGTATTCTTTTATATTGTCGGTTCGAGTTTGATTTCTTTTTGTATCACAAACTCTCGAGTTTGCATGTTCTAAGTAAAAATATATATAACGTCAGCAAGAAACAAACACACATGCAGAAGTATATACTACTATTAGAAACTGAGTATATTTAATAAAATTAGAAGTATGAGTTTAGAATTTAGAAGTATTCTTCCAGACTCCCACCCGGGCTACCGCAAACAACTTTTTTAGAGTTAAATGTTAGGGGGTGCCGCTTATAAATATTTTACATTCCTAGTAAAAATCAAGCGTAAGTTGAATTCTCCAAACATAATTTGATGCGTTTTTATTTTTTTTGTATCGGGGCTTAAATTATACCTTTGATTTGAAACATTTCTGAGAAGTATATATGTTTTGTATCGGGGCTGATCAAAAAATTCTCAAAAATAAATGTAGTACAGCATGACAAGATAGTAAATAACAGTTACATGTACAAAAATGTTATTATTTCACCGTAAAGCGTTAGAAAACGATGGGGGTTTATGTACACTAAATGGAGCTTTGATCAACAAGAAAAAAACATTTAAAAAAAAATTCTTAGAAATCTCCGAACATTAGTTTCAATTAAAATAAATAAATGTAGTTATTTCGACAACTGATTGTTTAAAGACCTTAACGTTGTATTTTATAAAGGATACGTGGACAAGAGTGGTGACTTCATCACTAATATGCAAAAAACAACGAATGTTACAGTTAGACTTGTCGTCGAAGTCGAAGAATATCAAAATCAAATACAACTACAAATTTAGGAACACGACAGTAGTACCTCTGTGGAACTCGAATAATCGAAATAATATAGTTTTTTTTATTAAAAAAAAAACCTTATCTTCATTTAAACGAGGCGGCTTGTATAATATGTGGTTTTTCTGTTGTTTACTGAAATTCCCACTCAAATAAATAATAGAGTCAAGAAAAGTAAAGATAAAGAGAAAAAAAGCCAATTAAAATAAATCTCGTGTCTGATTTTAATTTCATCAATATAAACACCCTCTTCACGAGCAAATTCAACACTCACTCATCAGTGTCAAACAATGGCATCTTCAATCAAAGAAATCTTCTCCAAAGATAATTTCAAGAAAAACAAGAAACTTGTTTTACTATCAGCCGCAGTAGCCTTTCTCCTCGTAGCCGCCGTCGCCGGAATCGCCGCCGGAGCTTCGAAAGCAAACGAAAATGGAAAACGAACTCTATCACCGTCGTCTCACGCCGTGCTAAGATCCGCCTGCAGTTCCACGCTTTACCCTGAGCTCTGCATCTCCTCCGTGGCCACCTCCGGCGGCGTCAAGCTGACGTCGCAAAAAGACGTCATCGAGGCGTCGCTGAACCTAACGACAACCGCCGTGGAACACAATTACTTCACGGTGAAGAAGCTGATCAAGAATAGGAAAGGACTGACTCCACGTGAGAAGACGGCGCTTCATGACTGTTTGGAGACTATTGATGAGACGCTCGATGAGCTCCATGAGGCGGTGGAAGATCTCCATTTGTATCCTAACAAGAAATCTCTCCGGGAACACGCCGGTGATCTCAAAACGCTAATTAGCTCCGCCATTACCAACCAGGAGACTTGCCTCGACGGCTTCTCTCATGACGCCGCCGACAAGAAAGTCCGTAAGGCCTTGTTGAAGGGTCAGGTACGTAAATAAGACATCAACTCTTTAACCATTACCGCTCACATCTACATTTGCAGAACCATTGAAAATTTAAAATAAAACTGTGAAATGTGTAAGATCGAATCAGTAAGAGAAGAAAGAAGAAAATTGATTCAATTTTTAAAGTTGCAAATGTCGATAAAATGCAATTGTTTTGATTCACTAAATTTATGGAATCCGCAATGGTTCAGTTCTATTATTTCATCGTGGGGGTAACGAATTCAGATTTTTTAAAAATGTATATAGTGCCACCATAAGATTATAGATAGGGTAACAAGTAAACTACGCTATATCTCACATCACTTTGAAACATCACATCACTTTGAAAAAAAAAATAGAATTTTCTTTTGTATATAATATTCTTGCAATGGATGTTGTTAGCTAGTGTTGGTTTATATGTATGTATAGTTGCTATCAAATGTTGTTATTAGAGTATATGCATTTAATTATATAAACTTATTGTTACATGATTTTTTTGAAAATACAGCTTTATAACGAAATGATTATGTGTAGATACACGTAGAGCACATGTGCAGCAACGCACTAGCAATGATCAAGAACATGACTGATACCGACATAGCCAATTTCGAGCTAAAAGCTAAAAGCACCTCAAACCACCGCAAGCTCAAGGAGGAGGAGACAACGGTGGCCGTAGATATCGCCGGCGCCGGAGAGCTAGACGCCGAGGGGTGGCCAACTTGGTTATCTGCCGGAGATAGGAGGCTTCTTCAAGGGTCTACCGTGAAAGCCGACGCCACAGTGGCGGCTGATGGTAGTGGGACGTTCAAGACGGTAGCCGCTGCGGTTGCGGCGGCACCGGAGAATAGTAATAAGAGGTATGTGATACATATAAAAGCCGGAGTTTATAGAGAGAATGTGGAAGTGGCGAAGAAGAAAAAGAACATAATGTTTATGGGAGATGGTCGAACGAGAACTATTATCACCGCAAGTAGAAATGTCGTCGACGGTAGCACCACTTTTCACTCCGCGACCGTTGGTAAGCAAATTTAGTTATTATAAAATTTTAAATATATAAAGTAATTTTGCACGATATGGTCCTTTTATCTGGTGGGAAAATCTTTACTCTTTTCATCCCCATTAAATATACACAAGTAGATTCTTAGTTTTAGTACCCACTAGAACAGGTGATTCGCACATGAAGCCTAGTAACGAGATAAAAATCAATTTGAAATTGAAATTGAAATTGAAATTGAACTACCAACATTCAACAAGAAACTTAGTTAATTATAAAGTCATGTGCGAGTCTCTCTATCCATCATTTTTCTTGGCTTTATGCATATGCTTTTCCAGGTCACGTTATGTGGATTGGGTTAATGGCTCATCCACTCGTGAAGAGAGCCTTTAGTTTCATTACCTTTTTCCTTTTTTATATTTTGTTTCATTGCTGTTGACTTTTCTATTTGCAGCATCACATTTTAAGTTTGCATTTCATTTTTTTTTTTGGAAAAGGTAAATTAATAATTTTTTGTTAAACTAAAGTGAGATTCCAGCAAAACAAATTAATAAATATTTGTCTTCAGCTAATGATATTACCGTTAATTAACCGGTGCTTTCTAATTTTGTGGGGGCCCAGCTGCTGTCGGTGAGAGATTCCTAGCGCGTGACATCACTTTCCAGAACACGGCGGGTCCGTCGAAGCACCAAGCGGTGGCTCTCCGTGTCGGTTCCGATTTCTCCGCTTTCTACCAATGCGACATGTTAGCTTACCAAGACACTCTCTACGTCCACTCTAACCGTCAATTCTTCGTCAAGTGCCTCATCGCCGGAACCGTCGACTTCATCTTCGGAAACGCCGCCGTCGTTCTCCAAGATTGCGACATCCACGCTCGTCGGCCAAACTCCGGCCAGAAAAACATGGTCACAGCTCAAGGACGAACCGATCCGAACCAGAACACCGGGATCGTTATCCAGAAATGTCGGATCGGTGCCACGTCGGATTTACTTCCAGTGAAAAGTAGTTTCCCGACGTATCTTGGTCGACCGTGGAAGGAGTATTCGCAGACGGTGATAATGCAGTCGGATATCTCCGACGTGATCCGACCCGAAGGGTGGTCCGAGTGGACCGGGACTTTCGCGTTGAACACTCTGACTTATAGAGAGTATGCGAACAGAGGAGCAGGGGCTGGAACTGCAAATAGAGTGAAGTGGAAGGGCTTTAAGGTAATAACGGCTGCTGCTGAAGCTCAGCCATATACGGCTGGTCAGTTCATTGGTGGTGGAGGATGGTTAGCTTCGACCGGTTTCCCTTTCTCGCTCGGTCTTTGAGAAAATATGATTGTTGTGTATTTAGTTCCTGCATGTTGGTGGCCTAATGATTATTATTGATATTAAAAATAAATCAAATTGTGTTTCTTGCGTTGTGAAACGAGACGAGCCTTCATATAATCATCATCAGAGTCTAGAACTTGTTAGATAATCCGACTTATGGTCATGGATTGATTGGTTCACATTCCCCTTCGTTTAAATGAGTGGCTTGAGAGAGAGAGTATGAGCAATGAAGACAGTTGCGTTAAATAGGTTGAAAGAAAGTGCATCTAGGTGTTAAGGATAATTTACCGGTTCGGGGATTGGCGTATGCAAATAAAGAAATTTCATCTTAGGCATAATATATATTTCATGTAACCACACACAATTTTTTTTATTTTTCCATTTCTTTCTTTAACAGCTGTTTGTTTCAACTCTCTCTTATATATATACCAGCTGGTTCGTAAAACTCACTCCCTTATATTGTAAATAAAACAGATACTGTACTCCAGAAAGGTAAATGAACAACATTAACCTCTTAGAACCAAATATTCTCGAATGTATATATAATATATATGATATTTCTATAATTAGACGATATATATTTGTAGAGCTTAGACAGCAAAACTTCGGGAAACTTCTTTACTCATTCCAAAATTAATGCAAAATTATTACAATATCCAATCAACTATATACATCACTCAGTCATAATATCCCAAGCATTCAAAGTTTCCTTGGTAAAAACACGAAAAACATCAAATATAATGAATATATAAATCTTCAAATAAAACCATGTTATAAACATGAGCATGCATTAAAATCCAAAAACTACGCACACTATATATAATATATATAACTATAAATGATTATTTGACATTAAAGATGAGACAAACAAATTATTAATAGACATTAAGGAACTTCTCTTAATTATTTTAATTGAACGCTCAATATTTCAACCCCTGTAATTTCTTGCGACATTATTTTTTTTTTGACTTTTTATACTATGCCGTTAGCTTCATTGAACTGATTTGCATGTGTTATCAGTAAGCAAGACTTGAATAGTTTGTAATCTCGAATTAAATCGTACACAGTTGATTACATTTTCTATGCGCCTACCTACAATCGAGAATGTTTGCACTTATCATTATCTACATTCATGGTTTTCAATAAACCAGGTCGAATATTTTCGCTGATTATTCAATATTCATATATGGTGAACGATCGAAAAAGGAAACTACCTAATGAACACAATTTATATTAATTAGTGACAGCCCATTATGAATCAACATTTCCTTATTAGTTGCTTGCGCGCGCATTGCGTTTAAGTAACTTTTCACATTTCCCTACTTATATAAAGCCATCATCAAAATACCAAATCTTTATATTATTATTCGACGAAACACACACACACACACAAAAGAAATAGAAACCTTTGATTTCAGGTTTAATGGATACTGTGAAGTCCATCAAGGGCTACTTCAAAGTAGATGAAGCGCAAGATGTAGCGTCGAGGAGAAAGGTGTAGAAGCGCTTGCTTCTATAAGGCGTTTCCATCATGGTTCTGGTCGCGGTTATCACCGGTTCTGCGGTTGCCGTTGTTCTGGGAAACCATTCCCATGGTTCGACAGCGAGTTCAACTCCCAAGTCGATGCCAGCTTCTTCGCTCAGGACAGTGTGCAACGTGACTCGGTTCCCTGATGCTTGTGTCTCAAGCATCTCCAAAATTCCATCGTCCAACACGACGGACCCGGAGGTTCTGTTCAAGCTTTCCCTGAAGGTGGTGGTCGACGAGCTCGCTTCGATTTCCGATTTGCCGAACAATCTCGCCAAACAAACGGATGATGAGAGCATCAAATCAGCGCTCGGTGTTTGTGGAGACATGTTACGCGATGGATAGCCTCAACGAGACTGTTTCCGCCATGGAAGCCGGAGACGGGAAGAACACCGTAAACCCGGCGAAGATCGACGATCTTCAGACGTGGCTCAGCGCCGCCTTAACATACCACGAGACGTGTTTCGATACCCTCGACGAGTCCATCCCGAACAACAACACGGAGTCCGCGGTCTCTCAGAAGCTGAGATCCTCCATGAGAAACTCCACCGAGTTCACCAGCAACAGTCTAGCAATCGTCGCGAAGGTACTCTCTCCCTTGAGCGATTTTGGGATGCCGGTTCACAGCAGACGGCTGCTCGGTTCGAACTCGTTCCCAAAGTGGTGAGCCCTGGGGTACGTCGGCTACTTCTTGCGAACAATGTAAAGCCCCACGTGACGGTCGCGGCGGATGGCTCCGGCGACGTGAAAACGGTTAACGAGGCAGTTGCAACGGTCCCGCTTAAGAGTAACGCAACGTTCGTTATATACGTGAAAGCCGGTGCGTATGTAGAGAATGTACTTTTGGATAAGGACATGTGGAATGTTATGATCTACGGCGATGGCAAGGACAAGACCATTATTTCCGGCAGCAAGAACTACGTTGACGGCGTTAAAACCCACGAAACGGCGACGTTGGGTAACATTCTACTCTCTTACTATAGTCAGAAACTTTTTAATTGCAAGTGTTTCAGGTTCATAATACATCTGATTTGGTTTCTCTGAACCGAATCAAGCTAAAACCAAACCGAATTCTCACTCTGAGTTCAAGGGTAGTTACGATATTTCCACTCCACGCAGGTGTTCAAGGCAGAGGATTCATAATGAAGGCCATCAGAATCATAAACACCGCCGGACCAGAGAAGCACCAGGCGGTTGCGTTCCGGTCAGCACAGCAGCCGATCAGTCAGTCTTCTACCAATGCTCATTCGACACTCTACACTCACGCCAACCGCCAATTCTACCGCGACTGCGACGTCACCGGAACAGTCGATTTCATCTTCGGAAACGCCGCCGTCGTCTTACAGAAATGCAATATCCTGCCGCGTCAGCCGCTTCCGAATCAGTACAACACAATCACCGCCCAGGCAAGAACCGAAGATAATCAGAACACCGGGATCTCGATCCAGCGATGCACAATCTCCGCCGTCGGGAAAGTAACCGCTCAGACTTATCTCGGCCGTCCGTGGAAGGAGTTTTCGAGGACTGTGATTATGCAGTCGGTGATTGGGCCGATCGTGAATCCCGCCGGATGGATGCGCTGGAAGGCCGGTGTTGAGCCTTCGAAAATAGTGTACGGAGAGTATAAGAATTCGGGTCCTGGATCTAGTGTGGCCCAGAGAGTTAAATGGGCCGCGTACAAGCCCGTTATGTCTGATGCCGAGGCGGCGAAGTTTACCGTTGCCTCGTTTATCCGAGGAGGCGATTGGTTACCGGCGACTAGAGTGCCTTATCAGCTAACTTAGTGGCGCATTTCTTCTGTCGTAGGCGTCTCATTTGGATTTTAGATTAAAAAAAAATTATTTGTTTTTAGCATATTGGATTTTAGAATATTTTAGAGCAATTCTTTTGTTTACGATATTGGATTTTAGAATATTTTAGAGCAATTCTTTTGTTTTAAAAAATAATAATTTATTGGTTTGTAACTTCAAAGAAACATTCAAAAATAGCACAACACTAACAACGACAAGTGACTTGGAAATTACATATAGTAGCTCGAGTAATGGAAAAATTACCTTGATGGCTTCATAACATAGTTTATGAAATTCTATAAAGTCCAACAACATGACAACCAACATTAAATCTTAACAGTTTACCAAGGAATATGGTCTCGCAAATCAAAAACCTCTTGTTCATCTCGCATAAGCAATACTAAGATGTAACAATCATTTGGTGAAAAGAAAGTTTGTCTCGGTTTAGAGAACTAGACGCAGACACAAGCTTGACAACTTCCCTGACAGACCAGGTAAGATAACCGGAAAGAAGTGCCGGTTTGTTTCCTCAGAGACGACTGATGACGGCTTCGACCTCCTGAGGAGTGTAGAGGTGATAAGCTGGTGCGACTTTGGCGATGTCGACATTGTTTGGAGTCACCTAAACCAGAAAAAGCAGAGAGTGTTGAAAAGGGCTAAACCGGAATGGGGATTCAATGGTGACTAAGTAAACAAATTTGGAATCAGTTGAGTACCTTCTCTTCCATCACTTGCTTTAGGATTGACACAGCGACTGTTTCAGCTTCTTGAAGCGTTAAATCCTGATAAAAGATGTGAAACTGAAGTTGAAGGGGGAGAAAAAAAAAGAAGCAAATAGATTCTGTAATGCACTTGGGACAGTGAAACAAATCAAGTTATTTTTACCTTGTTGAATTGCTCTTGGAGAGAACTATCAGCTCCTTCTGAGCCTGACCCAATGGCCTTTGCATTGCATTGCCAGAATGTTCCCGATGGATCTGTGTAGTACCTGTACAATATTGTCTTGTTTAACATTGTTGTATACCAATTTGAGATCGATCGACTCTCATGTGGAGAATGATATAAGCTAAACGAGTAACACAACTTACAGACTCGGTCCATTTTCATCATGCCCAGCAATGAGAAGGGATACTCCAAAAGGCCGAGACTGCACAAAATTCATGAGACATGGCATAAGTATAACAAGGCCTAAAAGTCTAAAATATATCATAGATCTTAGGTTTTATCTATGGCAAATCAATCATACGGTGTCCAAGCAGAAAGTAGCGAAGGCAACTAAAACAGTCCTATGATATCAATGAGTAATGGAGCAATGGTTACCATAGACTCTTCATCTCCTTCTCCAAAGCGTAAGGCCAGATCACACAAAGCTTGTGTTGTAGATTCTACAGTCATTTGCTCACCATACGAGAACCTGTGGTTCTACGCAACAGAACAAAAAAAAAACAGCAGTTGGTGACAGAAAGATCTTTTGATGTAAGAAAGAAACCACGAGAAGCAGAAACTGAGATTCTCACTTGAGTCTCCACTCGTGCGTGCTCAACGAGTGTGCGGGCATCAGCAATTAGACCACTCATGGCACAACCTATATGGCCATCAATCTCCATTATCTTCTCCACACTGCTCGGCTCCTGAATTAAAGACAAAAAGAGAGACTGACACTTGAAAAAAAGGATTTTACTTTGTTATACCCCACTTCAGATTCTATCACTCATGCCAAAACCAAGACTAACTTCGCTGCACAATGTGATGCAAAAGAGCCCAATAGAAAAAAAAAACACAAGATTACTTCTTAGCTCTTAGATGCTTACGATGGAGACTAAACTGAATCGGAATCAACCAGTTGAAGCAAGTGTGTTAATAGAAAGAACAAGCCACAAAGTGAAAACTTTACCAGCAAGGGAGATGTGATACGCTTCTCGACTGCAAGAACAACTCCTTCTCTAGTCTTCACGCCAATTGCAGTAGAACCAAGCTGCAACAATTCAAAAGCCTCGAGAATCATACATACCCATTCAAACATAGCACAACACTAACACGAGAAGTGACTTGGAAATTACATATAGTAGCTCGAGAAATTACCTTGATAGCTTCAATGGCATACTCAACCTGAAAAAGACGGCCTTCGGGAGAAAAGGTATTGACTCCTCTGTCATACTCAGTCCTTGGGAACAAAAAAAAAAATACCCAAAATCAATCGTTGCATTCGTAGTGAAACCCAGAAACTATGATACATGATTTCGCCGAAACAGAGAGAGAAAGGCTCAATTTTTACCTAGTGAGAAACATCTTCTTCCCGATTTCGATTTGGAAAAAAAAAAAACCTGCGCAAAGTAGCTTATAAATTTGCAGATGGAGGGAAAATAGAAACGATTAAAAGAAACTATAATCACTAGAACAACTTCTACGAATGCAGAAAATGTTTTACCAGCTGGTTGATTGATCGTATCGAAGAAACAATCTCTTTCTGTAGTTTGCTCCTTTTTAGCTTCCGGAAACGAACTTTTGAATAACAAGTAAGAAAGTCTTAGATGAACACTTGGGCCTTTAATGGGCTTATATACCTTATCAAACAGGCCATAAATCTTGACAATGACTTTTCGAATATTTGTTTGTTCAACGAATTAATGGGCTTATATACAATATAATTCGAAGAAATGAGAGCAAGAAAGAATATTGTATATATATCATTTTTTAATGCAAAACTTAACAAACCAGACTTTTTCGACTATTTACTTTTGTATATATATCATTTTTTAAAAGTAATTTGATGTGTAGTTGGAAAAAAGTATCTGATATGGCCGTATATGTTAAGAACTATTATAAGCTCTGATGAAAGTAAAAATGAAAAAAAAAATGCAAAACATGAGAAAAAACATAAGCAAAACAAAAAGAAAAATAACCGTACTTTTTAAGTAATAGCTACCTACTCTTTATTTAACTTCTATTTTGTGTTATTGTGTGTCAAATTGTTAAATTTATCTGTGTTACAAATATCAATGGCATTTTTTACTCGGACATCGTAGGTTTCTAGTACTTCCACATCATAAATATATTAAGTATATTAAGAAGATAATATTAATAATTATTGAATCAAATTTTCTAATCATATACTTGCTTATATAAAATTTAGAGATTGTACGATATTGATAAGTTAGGCCACCACTACGCGATGATATAAGTGGACAACGATCTAGAAAAAATGATTTAAAAACAAACTAAGTGACGTATATAACCTCCCAACCTCCTGAAACAGAGACCACAAATATTTAATTATAGTTTTTTATATAAAATTTATATACTAAGTACCGAATAATCATCAATTAGCATTGACAGTATATCAATGCTATATTACTAGTTTTGGTTTGAGTTACAAATAATATGTTATGGAACTTTGTGTTTTGTTAAAGCGATTCTGGAAGTTTGCTCCAACGTTTTGTGACCTACCTTGATCTATATGATTCCACCATTCAGAGTTTTTATAAATACTATATTTTTTTAGTTAAAAATGTCCAAAGTTGTTGATGACTCAGAAACTAGTGAACAATTTTGGATTTCTTTAAAGAAAACAGAATAAAGATAATTCGTATACGTTGTCATGTATGAATTGGTATAGTATTAATTTATTGATTAAAACCAGCGAGATAACACTACTCTACAACACACCTTACTGACGTTGGAAAGAGACGACCTTTTTTCGAGCAACTGTACGACGATGTCTCCATGTTTAGCCAACAATTAATCTCTCGTCTAATCATATCATTAAACTATACACCAATTATTGACATTATGAAATAAAACAAAATTTTACATACATGTCACTGATTAGAGGAACACGTGCCAGATAATTAGCCACAAACGTAATTCTCTACTAAACAAAAATTTACACCAACGAAATTCTCTACTATACACCAATTATTGTCATTTTGAAATAAAGCAAAAATTTACATGCAACTGGTTAGAGGGAGACGTGCCAGATAATTAACCACCAACGTAAACAAAAATTTACATGTCTCGTGTTTTTTTTTTTCCTTTTTTTGGGGAGAAAAATTATTTAATATGTGTTCATCTAACAAGGGTTAATTTGCAATCTAACCATATTTATAAAAAATTACAAGAATATAGTCATGCTATTCAAAAAATATGAAAAATAACCATACTCTACATTAAAAAGACTAAAAATCCCTTTTGTTTTAAACCAAGAACATATATAGAATATAATTTTGATTATATCAAATGATTTTTTCGGATTATATTATAATATATGGTCTTACACGACAAAATTAATATAGTATAGTAGTTGAGATTTTAATTATATTTACTATACTATATTAAAGAGAGGAAAAAAGAGAAGACAATAAGAGAGGAGGCGAGGAGGCGAGGAGAGAGGAAGGGAAAGAGGGGAAATGGGATGAGTGGAGATGAGTAGAGGGGAAGTAAAGAGAAAAGGATGCAAACAGAAGAGAAGATCGAAGGAGAAAAAAAAACAAAGAAAGACAATTTTGTATATATTGTCAAATATACAAAGAATATAATAATCTCTATATTGATATGGTTATTTTCTGAATTATAGACATTGATATGGTTATATGAGCCAATTCCCCATTTAACAATAAAATATGTGAAAGCATTTTACATGGTCATATCAAAATTTCGTAAACGACGGGTGAATGTTATTTTCATTTAAGCAACACCAATCAGTAATACTCATACCTGAGTAGACACTAATGTGTACATATGCGCATAATTTCAACGATTACAGGAATAAATTGACTGGCCAACCTTTCATCATTACTCATTAGATTAGAAGTAAGGAGAAAAATGAACCATTAAGAAAGAATAATTTTACTAATAATATGAGAGTAATGACCCCACGACAAAGACATTATAAAGTTGTTAATAGGATGACCAATCTCATCGGGCTATTTATAAAAATCTTTTAAAATAATTAAACTAAGATTCAATCAATTACCAGAATATATAAGTTTTGTTTTGCCATTTTTTTTTCTTAAGTTCTTGGGACCTATAAACCAAACAAGTTTGTCCCAAAAAGAAGAGATCAAAGTTTCTTCTGAAAAGAAAAAAAAAACACAAAGGCTATGGCTTATTCAACTAAACTCTGTCTTCCTCTTCAAACACCATGTTTTGTTCCAAAGACAGTAAGATCAAGGACTTTGATGCTTCAACAGAGTCAAATTCAAGTTAAAGTCAAGCAAGTCACAATTTCACAGCCTCAGCCGATAAGATACTCCACCAAGAACACTGTACGATCCTGTCTCTTCTTTTCTTTGTCTTGTGGTTTTCTTGAGAATCTGAACACAACCCATTTGGCAAAATATGATTTTTGAAGATGGGTTTTGATTTCTGAAACAGGTATTTGAAGATCCGATACAAGGGATCATATGTTACACGGATGACAATGGAGAGGTTATATGTGAAGGGTACGATGAAGGTCCTCGTTGTCCCCAAGAGTGTCCAATGGTAGCTTCTTACTCAAGGTACGATTAAAATTCCTAATCCTAAATTAAATATCATCAGATCGATCTTGTTTCAGTGTTTTTAATCATTGAATTTGATTATCTTTTTTGTAAATAAAACAGAGAACTAGAGATTCTTGATCTTCTGCAAAGAAGTTATCAGGACTTGAGAGATGCAGAGAAGGATGATGGTCAAAGACAGGAAATTGCTTCACAACAACAGTTAATGATGATAAAGTGGAGCAGCTTTGACTTCCTCTAAATCTCTCTCTATCTTCTTTTAATCTTTTCAAAACATTAGAATCTGTTCTCTCTTCAAAAAGGCCTCTTGAATAAGAATGTACAGACAAAAAAAAAGGCCGTGAAAGAAGCAGCGATTTGCTTCTTTCTTGATTCTCTTTTGTAAGAACACAAAAACATGAATATTTATGTTCAGATTCTGATTTCAATTTTTTCTTAAGTATTAAGACGGAAGCAAGACATAAGAACGGAATCTTATATACACAAGAATAATGTCATTCTTTTTTTTTACAGACATGTGATAAAATTGAAATAATCTCACATCTTTCTGAAAAAATTTCAGACAATCTCCTAAAACTGTACTTGAACGACCCAGAATCTAAAATACGCGAACAAAATCATATCTGTAAGAAACCCAATCTTCCAAAAAAAATTAACAAATGAATCATAGCCGAAGAATAGTGTTCCCAAAATGCAAAAGAACAAAAAAAAAAAAACCAATTTCTATACAAGACAAAAAAAGTAACTTACATCATGAGGATTCACATATATCACTCGGCTTGTGTACCGGCTTGAGAGGTTTCGTCTGGTTGATCAGATCTGGAGTTAGTAGTAATGACATTAGGCGGAGACCATTGATCAGGAACCATGAGGAAGTAAGTCGTCATGGCCTTTCTGAATCTTCTCTTGTATTGCTTTGGAGAGATCACTGTTGGTGCTGCATTCTTTGCTCCTCCTAAGATTCCTGTAAATTTCACCCAAGACTCCAGATGTTTGTCCCATGTGTACTGCCTCAAGAAGTCGATAATCCCAAGAACTAGCTCGTTCTTTTCTTCATCCACGCCTACTAGCAACGAGTAATCCATCACATCACCCAACTGCAAACACAAACACGTTTACAAAACGTTAAGAAGAGTAGTAGTGATGAGTAAATGATTTGTAGTGGAAGAGCTAAAACTCACTGCAAGAAAAGCTGTATCGTTCCAGACGGCTCTTTCCAACAATCGTTTTGCTTTGTTACCGACGAAAATGGGAGAAGTTGGCATTGCTTCAATCAAGTTTTGATCCAACAAGACTTTGTTGCTCCCACTAGAGTCAGGATTGTATCGCGCCCGGGTAGATCCTTTGAGGTCATAAAGCCGTTTCACAGTTCTTCCAAAGAGAAGATTCTCCATAATCAGAACGTCCATCTTTGTTTCTTTCCCGCTCTTTAGTTGCTTTGTTGCGACCTATAAAACACAAATTACGTAGTCTCATCAAGAGTGAATCAAAACCTGACCAGGAAATCTCTCAACTTAGCAGTTATGTACCTGATAGATTCCCATGATCTTTGCCAGGCAAGTTGGGCTTTTCGTGCTGATAGACTCGGATAAGTATTTGAAGTAAGCAGGTGCAAATTTGATGAATGACTCCAATTCTGTCTTGGTGACTTGCTTGATGATAAAGCGATCGTCCAGGGTTTTGGCAAAGAAGACGTTGCTCTTTCCACCTTGAGCTCCCCATTTTCTACACCGGCTAAGAGACCTTATAAACTCAAGTTCCGAAGGGATACATATACCCCGCAACGCCTCGAACCGTTTTGCATAGTAACAAGTTACTGTGTACTTCACTTTTCCAAGAGTGCCATCTTCTCCATATGAGACTCGAGCATGTAAAGCTTTCGTATATGAAAGTGGGTCCAAAAGTGTGCTGCTACGAGACGAGGACATTGAAAGTATACTCTCATCGACTGAACCAGTGCTTCTGCTAGGGTCAAAAATGGTGTCATCAACTGGGCGAGGGATGTTCAGTTCAGAAGGATATGAAACTAGAGATTCCCCTTCAACAGAAGTTTGGCGTTGATATTCGGGTGACATCAAGGCATACGCGATCATACTCGTGGGCTCATCATCATACACCGGAACAACAACATCATTCATGCCTACGGGCAGAAGTAGCCTTGGTCCACCTTGAAGCTCTGTCTCTCTAAAGGATGATATATAGATAGGGCTATGCTCGCCAAATGTATCAAGCTTCTGAGAGTTAAGCAGGAAATTCTTGTTGATGGAACGGTAGAAATTGAGGAATGGCATACCTAACCAGCTTACAGAATCTTCCGAGCCCTCGTAATTTTTACTCAGTAAAGCAGGTGAAACTGGAAAGGCCACCTTGAATTCGTTTTGCTGTTCTGGGAGATCTATTGGCTTTAAACCCTCTGAGATTGGAGGGAAAGTAGAAGAGTTCGACATGGAGGAAGGAGGAAGCAAGATCTTATTGGTTGGAATCTCCACTGATGTTTGACGTTCGCCTATCCATGCTGCATCAAGAGTGGCTGACAGATTTTTCATAACTATCTGACCATCGGACTGTGTCCTGCGAACATCGAATTTATTTTCCGGAGGATCAGAAGTATCAGGTAAGGTCTTGCTGGGAGAAACTTCTGCCCCAACTTCCTTTTCCTGACTCGAATCTGAATTTGTATCGGCTTCCTTCTGAGCCTTATTTAACGCGCCAGTGTCACCCGTACAATCACCATCAGAACTCCGATTAACATCTGAGCCAGCGAGAAGATAGTTGATCCCATCATTCATCTCAGGGAGCGTCTGGCTCTTAGCCAAGGGTGGTTTCTCATTTTCTTCTCTCTTTGTGTCATCACTAATCTCAAGCTTATGTAAAGTCGATGCACTAATCAAGCGGTGATCCCACATATATGACTGAAAAATCAGCTGTCTGCGAATCCGGTATAGCTCCAGAACGTCCACAAGTGGTTGGCCTTCCTTCACCTCCCTCTGCAACATCTTTTGTATATTCTCCTGGAAAAATGTCATAACAGTTACAAAACAGACCTTTTGTCTTAAGTAATTACTGCCGTACATTTGTTTAAGAGAGGGAACCTATTTATTTTGCATCGCTGAGTTCGAGATGCTCTTCAATATAGAACATAATTTATTACCTCGAATTCTGCTTTCTCTCGTTGCAGCACTTCTTCGAGTTCACCAGTTTGACGCCTAAAACCTTTCGCTGCAATTTGACTAATAGCATTTAATACTTCAGAAAACAGAAGCTCTGCTCTCTCTACCACCTAAAAAAGAGGGTGAACTCAGTCAAGACAATGTGTTAAATTTCAAAACTGTATTCAAGAAAATCACAGGTATTTAACCTCATCTGTCTCTCTCTGTATCCAGTCCTGATTATCATAGTTGAAACTTAGAATTGATGGTGGAAGGTAGACCGAATGAACATCTATAGTAGCGTACCGGAAGCAAGCAACCATGTTCCCAAATCTGCACGAGCACAACTTGTTAGAGGCTTAGAGCAAAGGAAAAACACAGATTTTTAAATAAGACATGTTTTAACACAATTTACTCATATTCCGCCCGAGGGATGCAAGAAAAAAGTACCCATAGAAGCGAAGACAGTCTCTATGCAGAGAATGGCCACAACATGCTACTCTACTGGCAGCTGCGTGATTTGAGAAACTGAGCTCCAGAAACTTCCCAAACGATAATCCCCATGCAGCATCAGACATCACCACTCGTAGAGTCGCCGGAGGGAAGCCGTTAGGCCGCGGGCATCTCAGGCATCTATGCCACATCCAGATCTTCCCCTCCTTTTCACCAGGTAAGAGATATTCTTGGAGCTTCTTTACAGATATCGTAAGGCTGCCTTGTCGATGAGTATAACAGTGAACGTGAGCTTCTGATGGCATTTCACAAGAACGGCACCTGTAACCCTGCAATTTGAGCATTTATTTGGGTTACCGTAAGCGGTAATATCAAAGTCACATTATACAACAAAAATAAAACAGAAAAAAAACTCACCTGATCAAACAAATGATCTCTCAAGAACCGTCCCAAGGGTTTATCAAAACTACCATAGTATTTAATCCGAAAGAGGTGAGACCTCTCACACACAGTTCCTTTCCACACTGATCGGGATGATAGAGATACCAAAATGCTCTGGTGATCAGAGGGTGACGGAGGAAATTCCTCTTTTTGAGATTGTGGTTCCTTTGGATTCTCACTGTTTTGTTGTTGGAAGGTTGTACGCTCTGAACCATTGTCTTGGATTTCGACCACAACACTCGTACTACTTTGAGAACTCTTTCGCACAAAGCCTTGCCCTGACTGTAGGGAATTGTCCAATATGTCTCCTGCCTCAATATTTGGATTGCTTTTGTCTACTGGTGTGTCTACCAGTACAGATCTTTCAGACAAATCTGAGTTTCTTCCCTCTATCACACGGTCAGGCAAATTCAATGAAACATTGTAGCGTGAAATTATGAAACTCGGATTCATCTCCCTAGCCTGCCAGCCTGAACCATTGGGTATCAGAGGATTTATATCCTTCTGGATTGATTGATTAGCAGTGGTTGAAAGCAACTCTGATGCTGGGACACTGTTTGCTCGTTGTGGTTCGGAACCAGATAGCATTGTTGGAGATTTTTCATATGTGGAGACCATGAAACCTGGTACAGTAGATATTGAACGTTCAATGCTCGTAGATTTATCTGGAAGTGCCACCGTGATTGGGGAGTTCAAGGGAAGTTCTGGTGAGGCTCCTTCGTCAGCAAGAAACGATGTCTCGAGTGCCAAATGATACGCTGCAAAAACTCCATATTGGACCACATGCTTCACTTTTTTCAACTCATCTTCATGAGCACCCCTAAGCAAAATCTGAAGAAGAAATGACATTAAAAGCAAGAAGAAATGTCATGAGGAAATCAGATATAAGAAATCTTCTCTGTATTTTAAATTCTAATGGTTACGTGGTGCTTACTGTAAAGCCTAATGGCTTTGGACAACCCTCAAAATACATCAACGTCTTCACTACTTTCTTTCCAACTTGACCAGTTGAGCCATGTTCTTCAAGAAACCTATCTACCCGGAAATTCTCACAGTAACCTAGCTTTTGAGAGGAGAGGTGGTCCACTGAAGGAATTATCTGAGCACCAGTGCAGCGAGCAATGCGGTCTAAAAGTGGTCTCTTAATGTTTAGAACAAGAGATATGTCTTTGGCTAGAAGATACTCTTGCGCAAATCG